CCGCGCGTTACCCGAGCCCTGCCGTTAACCTCACACGGGACTGGGGAGGAAATGCCGGGATGTCCGAGACACGACATAAACACAGCCCTGCCGAGACGCGCACACAAACACGCACATACAGTACAGCCGGCTGGGAAGCGCGCTGAATACGTAAGTGTACAATGAGGCTCCTGCAAGGTGGTTTGCAATACACACGCCCTGTTGCATCCAGAACCGTGCTTTATCCAGAGCCGTACTCGGGCGCGGTTCTGGATAGCCCAAGCGTATCCAGAACCGTTCCTGGGGGCAAATCTACTTTCTTGGATACGCGGAGACTATCAGAACCTGAGCCTGACCCTAACCCGTTCAGACATGGAACAAAATCACACAATAACACAGGGTAACCACAGAGCACCATACTTAAAATACATGATATACATTGACAAAATACAGAATATTGTTGCTCTCTGATGTGGGAATGTGAAGCAGGCTGCTAAGCAGGACGTCTAACCTCGCAAATAACCTGTAGACGGGCCCCGTTTTCTGCCCGGAGATGTGAGCCGTTACCTTGGGCGGGTCCATGAGGCCGTACCGTATGGCCAGGTAGGTCATCTGCACGAACCCCAGCATGATCAGGCAGCCAATGATGATGGCCACCAGCGTCCAGTCGTCAGTCAGGTCAAAGTCGCACTCAGGGTCCTTCTTCTTATTGCACATGGCGGACCGCAGCCGGTACACACGTTACAGCACCTTACAGCCCGCCTTACAGCTGGTACAGCGCCGTGTTACAGCACTTACAGCGTCCAGTCGTCAGACAGGTCCAAGTCGCACTGCGCGCCCTTGATGTTTGATGTTTTATTAGATATCCATTAGATTAGATAACAAATCTAATCTATTCTTCCTGGATTCATAAAATATGATACAAATTAAGGCACATAACATAACATAACACTTGCATCCATTAGACTACAACTAGCATAACACTACAAAACAATAAACAATAACAACTACAAAGCAGCACGACATTTCCAGATCGCTTTTGGGAGGTCAGAGGTCGATACGACTTCTTATTGCACATGGCGGGCCGCAACCGGTACAGACGTTACAGCAAACCTTACAGCCCGCCTTACAGCTGGTACAGCGCCGTGTTACAGCACTTACAGCCTGCCTTACAGCTGGTACAGCGCCGTGTTACAGCACCTTACAACACGTACAGCACCTTATGAAGTAAGTTTAAACTGTAATTTCCAACACAACAAAAATTGGACTCACCCAAATTTTCGACTGTACAACTCCAGTCTTTTTCAAGGAATGAGCAATCCACCGCTTCCGTAACGTCACGCAGATAACACACGTGACTCCGTGAGCAGTGGATCATAGGTTGCAGAAAGTCTGTGGCGCCCCCCGTCTCTGTTGAGGGATGGCTGTAAAGCCCTGATGTATATGGCCTCTTTAATC